GAGAGTGTGGTTTAGTAAATTGACAACGAGGCCCAATTTGTTCTTATAATCAGAGGTGGTGAGGAAGTCCTGAGTCAGCCAACTACCCATCAGTTGTGTTGGGTCACTTGGGAAGCTTTTAAAAATGCTGATTCCTAAGATCGATCCAAGATTCCGATTCTTTTTTTTTTTTTTTTCTCGTTTGTTGCCCAGGCTAGAGTCGTGCCATGGCGTCCGCCTAGCTCACAGCAACCTCCAACTCCGGGCTCACATCTCAAACTCCTGGGCTCAAGCGATCCTCCTGCCTCAGCCTCCCGAGTAGCTGGGACTACAGGCATGCGCCACCATGCCCGGCTAATTTTTTCTATATATAATAGTTGGCCAATTAATTTCTTTCTATTTATAGTAGAGACAGGGTCTCGCTCTTGCTCAGGGTGGTTTTGAACTCCTGACCTTGAGCAATCTGCCCGCCTCGGCCTCCCAGAGTGCTAGGATTACTGGCGTGAGCCACCGCGCCCGGCCTCAAGATTCCGATTCTGAAGAGTGGGGCTGAGAGAGTCTGCATTTTGGAAGCTTCTCAGAGGATTCTGATATATAAATAAGTTGTCTCATGTTGTAGGCAAGAGCCCTAGAAAGGGGAAGGCATTGCTCTGGGCTAGTGGCAGAAGCTAGGCTAGAACCCACATGGGCTACACCCTGTGCTTGGTCCACACTGCCATATTCCATCTTGTCTGGTCAATGGCAATGGTGGTGTCATTTGCCATTGACTTTCAGATGGAGAAGTCCAAGGACTTGGATATTGCACTAAGTTTCAACACCAATTCTCCGACACCAGCCAGGCATGGTGGCTCATGCCTATAATCCCCCAGCGCTCTGGGAGGCTGAGGTGGGAGGATCACTTGAGCTCAGGAGTTCAAGACCAGCCTGAGCAAGAGTGAGATACCATCTCTAGAAAAAAATGGAAAAATTCCAGATGTGGTGGCACGTTCCTGTAGTTCTCAGCTGCTCGGAAGACTGCAGCAAGTGGATTGCTTGAGCCCAGGAGTTTGAGGTTGCAGTGAGCTATGACAATGCCACAGCACTCTGGCTGGGTGACAAGAGTGAGACTCTGTCTCAAAAATTATAAAAAAAAAAAAAAAAAGAAAAAGACACCAACTGGGATAATTCAAGTCAATTCTAACACTACCTGGTGTTAATGTCAGATCCCAACTTCAAGGACAAGCACTCCAGCAAGACTGCCCTTACCTCACATGCCAGTCACAAATGGGGTCTCCAGGATACCCACATTTCTGTCTAATGTGACTACAAAGTTGGAGCTTCCCACCAGACAACCCCTTCAAGTTTGGCAAGTTGCTAGAATGCCTCAGAGAACTGAGGAAAGTGCTATACTGCCCATTACTGCTTTATTATAAGGAATACAAATGAACAACAAGGTCTGGGAGGGTCTTCAGCTTTGGTGTCTGTGGAAATCCACCGCCTTCCTGGTACATTGATATGCTTGTTCACCAACCAGGAAGCTCTCCTGAGCTTCAGTATCCAGAGTTTTTATGTGGGTTTCATTACGTAGACATGATTGATTAAATCATAGGCCATGTAATCAGACTGAATCTACAGTCGCCCTCCCCTCCACAGAGATTGGGCTCAAGGCTGAAAACTCCACCTCTCCAGCCACATGCTTGGTCTTTCTAGAGTGGCCAGCCCCTCTCTTAAAACTATCTAGGGGGCCCTACCATGAGTCACCTCATTGGCATAACTATAGGTGTCCTTGGAAAAAAATCTCTTTATGAATAACAAAAGACATTCCTACCAGCAAATTCCAAGGCTATGTGCCAGGAACCAGGGACAAAGACTAGACCTATTTTTTATGATATCACATGCACCTACCTTCTCCCAAACTCAGCCTCCCTTATAAAAACGCAGCTCCTTACGTTCCCACCTTCCTGCCTCTTGCCATTATAAGGAATAGAGCAATTCAGCAGAAATTGTTGTAGAAACAGCCTCTGCGTTCCAATTCTGCTTAGACCCCTGAACAATGTTATTTCTCTCTGGGAATGTATAAGAGATTTGGCTTCTGGCCAGACAGATCCCAGCTGTAACTTACTCATTCCAAGTAATACTGTTCAGAGACACAACTCAGTTAATAATACCTTTTGTTTATTGCATTACAACTTTCAAAATACTTTTACATTTCTAGTTTTAACCCCACAATGAACAACCCTGTGAAATAGGCAGGGAAATGTCATAATTCCCTTATTTTTCATTCGGCAAATGTTGAGTGCTTCCTGTTGATGTGCTGACACAACTCGAGCTGCTGAGACACAAAGAGGAACAAAATCTGGTCCCTCCTCTCATCAGATTGGTAAACCTTTGCTCAGATAAATGGAGCGATTTTCTCAAAGCCAAGAAGGAGGACTTCTAGCTCTTTCCTTTGTGCTTTTTCTATTACGGGTGCCAGGAGCAGGGGCCTTTTAGTAGGAGAGTCTCAGGGCCAGGCTGAAAACATGCAGGGTGTGTCAAGGAACCTGTCAGGGACATAGTGGGTGCTTCTGCAGGGTGCACAGGCCCAAGGTGGCCTTTCTACTTGTGTTAGCTTCCTTTGGCATTTGTAAAAAATGGCCACAAACTTGGCAGTTTAAGACAACAGAAATTTGGTCTTTCATAGTTCTGGAGGCCAGAAGTCTGAAATGGGCATTATTGGGCTGCAATCGACGCCTTAGCAGGGCTGCACCTTCTCCAGGGGATCCAGGGGAGAATCTGTCCTTTGCATCTCCCAGCTTCTGGTGGCTGCCAGCACTCCCCGGCTCATGGCTGCATCACTCTAATCTTCAAGGCCGACATTTTAGGATCTTTTTCTGTTTTACACATGCCACCGTTGTGTGTGTTTGCTTGTGTATTTGCGTGTGTGTGTGTGTGTGTGTGTGTAAAATTTCCCTCTGCCTCTCTAAGAACACTTCTGATAGCATTTAGGGTCCATCTGCATAATCAAAGACTTTTTTCCAAATAAGAAAACATTTATAAGTTCCAGGGAGCATTGGGGGCATGTTTGAGCCTAGCATACTCTTGCAAACCAAAGCACACTTGGAGGAGAGATCATAAATATTTTTCTTTATCTTTTAATCTCCAAATCATAAATCTTTATCTTTTAATCTCCAAAGGAGCTCCATTCAGAGGCCAGAACACCGGATTTAGAAGTAACCATGGAAAATCCTGTCCAAGGCAGGCCCAGAGCGGGGAATGCCTATCATAGGTTGCTTTTGCAGAGTTAATGGCCTTGGAAGTATCTGGCCTCCAGTTTTCCAGTCTAGGGCTGTTTTTGCAAAGTTTTCCACTGAGATCAGAAATGGGCACACCTCTTACATACAGGCTGTCTATATTATGCTTTCTCCCCTCCTCTTGGGTCTCTCTCCAAAGGCCTGTCTAGACCCCTACATGAGAGGGCAGGGGGATGGAGGGTGGGCTGGAGATCCCAGTGTGGTCTGGGGCTGGAGAGGGCAGAGAGTGGGCACTGTCCATTTGACAATGGGGAAGACCCTTGGTCTCGTCCCAGTGAAACCACTGCCAACCATTCCTTTCCCTCTCCCTCTAGAAAGAACTGCAACAGACATTTCCCAGGGGACTGGTTCACAGCCTCCCCTCTGAATCCCAGGCTGCCAAGGCTGATAAGAGGCCAGAGCAAAGGCATTGCCACATCTCTTTAGAGCCAGGCTGCAAGGCAGGGCCCTGGGAATGCAGAAACAGAGGAGCCTTTGAAGTGCAAATTCAGAACTGCTGAAGGCTCCTGGTTCTGTAAAAGGAGATTTCCTCCTAGACACTAGTTAGATGGAAACTCTGAAACTTTCATATTACACAGTATAAAAGTCAAATACTAGCAGTGGGCTAGCCTGAGAGGACAAACACAACTGAAGGAAACCTCTTCGACTTTCCCAAATTGGCTCCCCCTGCCCAGATGGCTGCTAGCAGCCTCACTGTTCTCTGCCTCCCTGTGGCTGGAAGCCTCCGTTCCCAATGGAGAAAATGAAGGAGAACAAGGAAGTCTCCTCTGTGCAGGGTATCCAAACAGTTGGTGAATCTCAGAGACTTGCTCTCTGCAGTTCTTCTCACATCAGTCCCTTGCTTTTAATCTTCACTGCCCTGTTCCTGGTCCTCATTTCCTATTCCCCCTTTTAATTTTAATTGTAAAATGAAGGATCCTAGAGCTGAGGAATGTGAAGAAAACAGCTCTAGAAGCTATAAAGGACAAGAAAAAAGTTCTCCCCTGCAGCCACCTTGATTTTGGCCCAGTGAACCCAATTTTGGACTTCTGACCTCCAGAACTGTACAAGAATAAATGTACGTTGTTTGAAGTCACCACGTTTGTGATAATTTGTTATAGCAGCCATAGGAAACTAATACAGGTTGTTTCCAACTTTTTGGAATTGAAAGTATTTTTTTTACCTTCTACCTCTTGACCGGAACCCTGGACTCCAATCCTCCTTGGCTTCTATCTCCCTACATTTCTCTCTCCAGGGTCTTTAATGACTCCTCACTTCTGGAAAATGAAATCTGAATTCTTTAGCTTGAAGGTAGTCCGTGATTAGCCCCAACCCACTTTTCTAGCTTTTAAATGGTCTGTTGGTTCTATGACCACCCTTGGTTCTATGGCCACCCTTAACAAAATACTTCATACTTTCATTCCTGGCTCACAAAGTTTTCTATGTATGCAATGCCCCCTTAGCCCATTTTTGCAGATGGTCCTTGAAGCTCCAGCTCAAATGGGATATCATCCAATAAAGTCCCTCTGTGTCCTCAGCCCATGCCCAATAGGATGTCATCTTTGCCTTCATTGAACATGTATAACACTTTGCATCTATTTCATGGCAAATATCTATTCTACCTTGTGCTTGAATAATATATTTATATAGTATGTGCCTAGCACCTAAATAATTTGCTAAATTCTTTGTTCATCAAATATTTGTTGAGTTGAATTGAAATATGAACTCTACACTACAGATAACAAAGCCTACTTTCTACTTGTGTTCTAGTTGAATACTCATGATAAGATGAAAGCACCACTGATTTTAACAACAAAAGATGGACATAAGAAAAGGTAGAGTAAACTCAGCCAAATTATGCTTCTGGTTTTTCAAATCTCATTCTTAATTCACTGTGTTGAGCGTCAGAGGTGCAAGAATAAATATGATGGCAATTCATGAGAAAAGGCCTTGAGAATATGAGCTGGCTCCAAACTTAGTAGTGATCCCCTACTATGATTCTGTTGTTGAAAATGCTAATATCATCTCAGGTTGCATTTACCGAAGTGCAAGTCCTGAACAAAAAGAAGATTGTTTCATGTTTCTTTCAGATGCATCTTCTGTGGGAGGTTTGATCAATGTGATCACTTGTTTCTAGACTTGGTAGAAACACCAAGATAACCCAGGAAGCTGTTAAAACATACAGATTTCTGGATTCCACCTGAAAAAAACTCTGAATTAACAAGTCAAGGGAGAGCCTGGGAATCTGTATTCTAACCAGGACAAATTATTTGAGGCTCATTGGTCTAAACAGTCTCATCAGGTTGTTTTGAATTCTGGAATTCTATTGTTCAGAATGTTGTGTCCTGTTCCTGGCTCCATAATCTCAAGTGTCCTGATTACTAACTCTGCTGGTTCTCATAATAGTTAAGTCCCAACTTTTGACCTTCTGATGCTGTACCTACTGGGAAAGGGGGCATGAATCAATTGGCTAACAGGTAAAGTCTGGAGTTTTAACTAACTATTTTAGAGTTAGTCACTATCTTAGTCCATTTGTGTTGCTATAAAGCAATAGCTGAGGCTGGATAATTTATAAAGAAAAGAGGTTTATTTGGCTCATGGTTCTGTAGGTTGTACGAGAAGCATCATGCCATCATCAGCAACTGGTGAGGGCCTCAGGCTGCCTCCACTCATGGAGGCAGCTGATCCTATTCTCTAGAAGGAGATCTGAATGATTAAAAGAAGTCTTATGGCCCATAAGCCTTTCCTCACCCCAGAGATAGAAGCAGAGTTAGTTGTTCCCACTGCTCCGGATAGAAACAGCTGAAGTGGTGGAAGGACCAAAGCCAGGGGATGCAAGGTCTGCCCCTCTCTGTCCATTTGTCCATTTGAATTTCAGAGATTTACTGCTGCCTCCCAAATAAACAAAGCCATTGAAATTGCTCAGTGCAGACAGAGGATCAAGAGGAAGGCATCATTTCTCAGCCTTAACACTATTTGTTTATCTTGGGCCCATTGTCATTAACCCCTGAGAGTGAAAGCAAGACTGGTCCATTTCATTTTCTGATTACCCAGTTTATGGCATCATTAAAATTAATTGAGCATTAATCTCAGCACATAATGAGCAGACCATGTTGAGGAGGAAAAGGTCCTGCTGGAGGGTCTGAGTGTGTTCTCTCTGTCAGTGTGGTGCTAAGAATTCCCACACAGGTGCTGAGAATTCCTGAGACGTTAGCTGGGACAACCGTGCCATTGTGGTGGTCACCACCTGTCCCCAGCACCGTTGTTCCTCAGTAGATGGCACTGCTGAACTAAGCTAGTGCTTGGAGTCAGAGAGGTGAGAGTAAGACAATTTGCACATTTCTTTCTTTTGGATTAAAGAGAAATTGGAGATTTCCATTTCCATCATCTGATTGGGATGCTGAGAAAGTTCTGGAAATGGATAGTGGTGAAGGTTGCATGATATTGCTGAATGTACTTAATGCCACTGGAAAAAATGGTTAAAATTTCGTGGTTAAATTATATGTTATGTATGTCTTACCACCATTTTTTGAAAAAGGAAGTGGGTTGGCTTATCCATAGACAAATCCAACCACAAGAAGGAAGGTAATTCGACACTTGCCATCATGTTGCTTTTTGATTTCAAATGCCACACTGAACAAGTGACCTTCTGTCCCTTCTGCAGGGTTGACTTGTCTTAGGAGCAGTGACAGAGCTGCCTCTTATTGTAGGGACCATACAGCTACTTCAGGGATTCTAATTCTGAGGCATCTGAGAGCAAACAGAGCTCCCATAACTCCAAACACTTCAATACTGTTCAGAAAGGCTCGAATCCCTTTTATCCCCCCAAAAATGGATAGAAAAGAATTTGTCTCTGGCTTAGCCCATCCCACTTTTCCTGTGGAAATAATAAATAATTCATCCCATTTAGTGTAGGTATTCAATACATTTTTTGTATGTCAACTTCTTTTTGACTTTTCTTTTCCCAGCTGGATTCTTTGGAGCTGAATTAGGTAAGAGCTTTTGAATTTCTGGCCCATCCTCACTTCCTTCTGCTGTATTTGGGCCTGTGAATGTTTTCACCGCTCAGAGACTAGAAGAATCTCAAGGTTGGAATAGGCTGGAAATGTCCCCTTTGTCTGGCCTCCCATGCGGTGCCTGTCCAATGGTCAGTCTTTGGCCAAACCCTCATGTAGTGTAGTGGCTCCTATCTTTGACCCACCCCGTGACCATCCCTGTTCCCACCCTGTGACCATCACTCACCCTATCTCCTCAAAGAGCCCCTCAGACATAAACAGATGCTCAGAGATAAATTAGGTTCCAGATAAAAATACATTTTTAAAGCATTCTTCACCCATCTCTATTTCCGTATTGGATTTAGATTGGGTTGTTTGTATCTTCCAGGAAGACTTTGCATGTTCAGATCAATTCACATTTTCTACTTGTAATTTCTGGCTGGAACTTACAGATGGAAGCTGAGTCACCTCCGTCTCTCCTGGAGTCTGAGCCGGCTGCTACCAAGACCTTCCTCGTTATTCAAACTCATTCACATGAATACCAAAAAGCAACATTTGATGGTTGCGGAAGATTTCCATCTTCACAGGTCATGAAATGGACCTGCGTTGGGATACTTTTTGTTTACCACCTACACTAAGGATTTACAACTGCCTAAGTGTTATATTTCCAATGATTGTGTTCTGAACAGAAGTCTCTGCCTGAGGCAAGGACAACTTCTTTATTCACATTGAAAATGACAGCAGGTAAAAGGGCAAGAATTTTTTTTTAAAAAAATTCCACTTTTAGTATATTTAGACTGAAAATCTTATATTAAAATAAGACCTTTAAAGCGCTCCTTTTCACTGTTCATTTGGGAAGATATTTCACAGATAGGACAGACACCCTGAAATGTTGCCTGGTCTGAAATCTTTTATCTGTAGCTGTAGAAGAACAAAGGGTATATAACATATGGAAAGGAGAAACCAGCAGTAAAAAGGCACAGTTAAAGATGGGTATAGGAATGCAAATTATGATTTTAGCCTCAAAATATTTCTGATCGGTTTCTACCCAAGGAGGACCATATTTGGGTATGGGATGGAGATTGCATATGGGGCAATTTAAGGGAAGAGGTGATACCCCTTGAGCAATGTAGAACTGCAAGCTTTGCAGATCCCAGGTTTTTTTTGGTTTTGTTTTGTTTTGTTTACCAAAGCCACACTTTTTAAAAGAAATGAGGAAGAAGAATTTTCATTTTTCCAAAGTCATGGCTAGTATGATTTGAATGGTGTTCCCCCCAAATTCATATATTGAAGGCTTAACCCACAGTATCTCAGAATGTGATCTTATTTGGAAATAGGGTCATTGCAAATGTAATTAATTCAGATAATTCTTAAGTTCTACCGGAAGAGGGTGGGCCCCTCAGTCAATATCACTGGTGTCCTTATAAAAGGGGGAAATTTAGACACAGAGACAGGCATGTGTAGCTGGTACAGCCTGTATGAAGGAAACTGATGCTTCCCAGACAGCCCTGAGAAGGAACCAACCCTATTGACACCTTGATCTTGGACATCTACCCTCTTGAACTGTGAGAAAATAAAGTTCTGTTGTTTAAGCCACCCAGTTTGTGGTTCCTCGCTATGGAAGCCCTAACAAACTCATACAGTGGTCAAACTGGAAGCATTTAGTGCAGTGTTTTATTTTTGCAAAGTCACAGAGACTGTAATACCTAATGGCACAATTTTATTTTGAAAGCATTTATGACTAGAAATGGTTTTTAATATCTTGATTTCTAATTTATTACTCATATGCACTTCTCATGTACACACATAGATTTTTATGTAATTCATAGAGTCTTAGTCTACTCCTGATTCCTTATGTTTGGAAGTCCTGTACTCAGACCTTGAAAACTTCTCCAAAGACTTAAGGATCTTGACATCTCAGTTCTATCACTTTAAAATATCACATCCAAGGGTCCTTTTGACATGCCACCTTTGACTTTTATATCCTTTTCACCTTTCTATCTTTATTAAAGGGCTTGTTACACACCTTTTTGGTTTCTAAAAGGCTGCATTGCATGTCTCTCGGGTTATAACAGAAAGGTCCATGATTATTCCACAGGTAGCTGCATGTGGCTTCTTCACTTTGCTGGAAAGGGTCTGGGGCAATTCTGGGGACTCTAGTGAGATGCCCAGCAATAGACACCTTGCTCTTTTCTGCTTACCTGTCACATTTGCTTTTAGGGGCAATGTAGGTGATCTCTGTCTGTTGACACATCTCTAAGTCTCAAATTGCAACAACATTCTAACATTGGATGGTTTGGCATTTTACCCTCACAGTATGACTCTATACACCTTTGAAGTATCTTTTCCCCCCAAATTATATTGATGTTGAGCAAATCAAAACTGTCACTTGTATTAGTTTGTATTTCTCTGTAGATACATAGTCACTAAATTGGCAATTTGCAGGTGAATAGAGTCGTTCTTATTATCTGTCTGGTAATCCATACTTCTTGAGTATTTGGGTTGTTGGGACTGGAGTTTTCTGTGGTTGAGACATGGGTGATGTAGCAAAGTGGAAAGTGCAGTGCACTGAATGTCATATAGCAACACTCTAGAAAGTTCTCCTAATGACAGGCATTTCCCTTCTCTTCTCCATCTTTCTTGCACAACATATGAATGACCTGTCCAAGAATAAGTCAGGTCTGTCCCACTCTTCCCAGCTCCTCATACCTGTGGATCCTTCTCCTCCTCTCCCTTGCTCTTGGGCTGACATTATCATCATGTAGATTAACTTAACATCTCCTGGGTTTTCTCAGATGTCATTTCCACTCCTATATAGATCAGAAGTCTTCAAATATTTTTGATATTCAATCCATAAAAACTGACAAGCAGAGAAAGAAAGTTTAAAAATATTCATATACTATTGATGTATATATCTTGTCCATTATAAGACATACACGGAAGAAATTTTTTAAATTTGAGTCAAGGATCACCTCAAAATATATATGCACATTTTAAAATAATTTGTTATTTATTGACAAGATGACAAAATTTTGCTCTCACTATGAAACTTGTCAATAATAATTTTTAGTGAGAGTGCTATGATTGATTAGACTATACTGGTTTAATACGTTTAATACTTTGATTCCAAGTTCAGGGTTTTTTTCCTGCTCTCTCTCATTCCCTTCCTCCCTCCCTTTCTTCCTGTCTGTCTCTCTCTCACACATTTTCTTTCTTAGCTTTTTTGCTTATTGCAGCTGAAAAGTTCTCTCACAAAGATGCACCAAACCAGATGGAACAAATACCCCTTCAGATGCTCATTTTCATTCCACTCGTGGATTATGCAAAGGTTTCTGTTTAAATTCTGCTGGTAAATTTTATTTCCTTTGATGTCAATAAGCTGCTCTTCTTAACCGGTCACAAGGTACAGTAGTCCCTGCTTAGATACGGGGTTTACTTTCCAAGACCCCAGTAAATGCCTAAAGCCTTGGACAGCGCCAAACTCTATATATACTACTAATATGTTTTTTCCCTATATATACACACACACCCATGATAAAGTTTAATTTATAAGTTAGGCACAACAAGAGATTAACAAAAATAACTAATACAATGGAACATTTATAACAGTGTGCTGAAATAAAAGTACTATGAGTGTGGTCCCTTTCTCTCTCTCACTCTCTCTCTCTCTCAAAATATCTTATTGTACTGTACTTGAGGTAGCTGAAACCACAGAAAACAAAATCACAGATAAGGGAGAAGACTACTGTATTTCATTTTGGTACTTTTAACAAATAGGTTCAAAATTCACTAAAGCTCTGCTTAGAAGAATTAACAGACTTGTTTGATAGTTTTTCTTTCAGTATACTGATCATGATTTTTATAAATGGCACCCAGTTTTTTTAAGATTAAAAAAAAATCACATAAACATGAAAATGTTTCCAAATATCCACTTTCAAATTATTCTTTTCATAGCATATGTTTCTTCAAAAAACACTTTCTTACAGATTGGGCAACCTCTTTTAAAATATGATAGCTCGTCTCTGATTTTTTAAAATAACTCATGATGTGGGCAGACAAAGAGTCTACCACGTAAACAGGACAAATGTCAGATTTTCCATTTCTGGATGTTCTCTTATATTTGCATTTTTATTATCTTCAATGGGCTGTTTGGGTTGTTGAGACAGGTTTTAGATCAGAGTTTTCTGTAGTAAAGACATAGGCAAATCCTTGAAGGAATTGTTTTAAGCCATTTGTTCATTTTTGTGAGGATTGGTTTAATCTAGATAACATGCTCCATAAGTCTACTTAACCAGGGATACGTCCCCTGAAATATCCAATAACTCCTTCCAATAACCTGATAGCTCATGGCTAAGCGAGGGCCACCATCAACCGTCTTGATCAAAGAAACTCCACTCTTTTCTTAACTTACTGGGAATATTACAGGGCTCCCATGACCATGTTTGGGACTTATAGACTAATGGGGGTGGGGGTGGGGGTGGAGGTCCCGATTTCAACATATATATTACTACTGTGTTTCCCCGAAAATACGACAGGGTCTTATATTTATTTTTCCTCAAGAAGACACCCTAGGGCTTATTTTCAGGGAATGTGTTATTTTTTTTAAATACGGTGCAACCATCTATATTTATTCAAATATAATTAAGTCATCTTCTTCTGGAACATCATCATAACTCTCCAAACCCCGAATTCCATCCTGAATTTCTTGCGACTCTATTTCCTTTAGAACCATTGGCCCCAATCTCTCATGTTGAGCAATAGAGCTCTAATGGGGCAGATGAGAAGGGCTGCTCATCTTCTTTACCCCTCTGCTTGGAAATGCATAGGTTGTGCAGATGCACTGCGTAGCCACCCCCATCACTAGGTCTTATTTTCAGGGTAGGGCTTCTATTGCACAAATGCTTAGAAATCCTGCTAGGGCTTATTTTATGGGTAGGTCTTGTTTTCGGGGAAATACCGTATCAGTTCAGTTAAACTTCTGTATTTTTGATTGAATTAAATATGAGTGGAAGTTTTAACATTTTCTCTTGCACTCCCATGAATCAGTGCCAGACACTCTGTTTTGGAGATCTAGATCTAGGGTGGTTGAAAGGGCTACGAAATCCTTTAAAACCTAAAAAAAAAAAAAGATTTATTTTAAAAAATTGACAAATAAAAATGTATTTTTTAATGGTATGCAACACGATGTTTTGATATATGTATATATTGCGGAATGGCTATATCAAGATAATTACCATATGCACCACCTCACATAAGTCCTTTCCGACTTTTTATTAGATTCTGCCGTATTGCTTGCAATAGTTTTGGGAAACATAAGGGTGACATGGATCACTATCGTACAGTCAAATAAATTCACATTATAAGGCATCCGGGTCACTTTCAGGACTGCGGATGACTGGGACCCTCTCTTGTTATGTTACCTCCAATCACTAAGTGAGTCTTTACTCCATTTTCATCAAGTTGAGCTGTCCTTTTATTTCGGCTCCAGTGGGACTTCCAAACATCAGCCAGATATCCCATAGCAAAAAAAAAAAAAAAATTGGTAAGTCTATCCGTCATTTGTTAGGATTTCTTTAGTCAGTTATTAATAAAAAACAGATGTCAAAAACACCACTTTGCAGGGCTCATAAAGATAAGGTTCAAACGGATTCCTCAATCGTGATTAAGCCAAACAAAACAAAACAAACAAACTTCCTGTTTTCTGGAGTCCTGGGTATATCACAAATGCTGTCGCGGTTCCAACAAGTTTTGTTCTTCGACACAAGAAGAACCACATTTGGAAATGATTAATGCTCTTTATTTTTTAAAACAC